AGTTATTGTTGTTCCAAGATACTTGAATTCTCTAACGCGCTCAAAGTTAAAGTCATCGATGGTAATGTTCTGACCGATTCTGTCTCTGCTTTGGTTATTGCGGCTCATATACATATATTTCGTCTTATTTTCGTTGATTTGGAGTCCCATCTTCTCTGCTTCCTTCTCAAACCTTACGAAAGTCTCCTTCATCTTTAATCGCGTGTTTCCTATTAGATCTATATCGTCTGCAAATGCCAGTAGTAAGTTTGGTCCTTCTCGATGAAATACTGTATTCGGTTTTTCGATTCTTGCACTTCTGATTATGTGCTCCAGAGCTAAGTTGAAGAGTTGTGGTGAAAGTGTATCTCCCTGTTTTAGTCCATTGTTTATTTCAAATGTCTCCGAGTATTGTTGTCCAACTCTCACCTTACATCGTAACCGTTCCATACACATCCGTATCAACCGGACTAGTTTTTTGGAAAGCCAAGTTCCTGCATCGCTGTCCACAGTCTGTCCCTACATACTCTATCAAATGCTTGTTTAAAATCTATGAACATCTGATGAAGCTCACGATCAAACTCCCAGCATTTTTCCATTATCTGTTTTATTGTAAATATCTGGTCAATTGTAGAGCGGCCCGGTCTAAATCCGCATTGATAATCTCCAACGATTTCTTCTGTGTATGTTTTGGTTCTTTCTAGCAGGATGTTTGCAAGGATTTTGTAGGTGGTGTTTAGGAGTGTTATTCCCCTGTAGTTCAGAATATCTACCACGACATAATAAATAAAATCCATGAAGCAGCTTATGAAGCGCTCGGCAAGGTCCCAAGGAACAAACGGCATACTCCACTCTGGTTGACAAATAAGATTGAAAATGCAGTACACAACAAGAAACAATCATATTAAAAGTTGCGACAAACAAAGGGCCCAAATGAACGATAAACATATGCAAGATTAAACAGAGTACAAATCAAATAGGTATAAAATCTAGTAACTAAAGCAAAAAATACCGCCTGGGAAAGTAAATGGGAAGAACTCTACACATATATAAGGTCAACAAGATAAAGAGAAGCATGAAAAACGGTCAAAAACCTTAGAACAAACAGAAAAGAAACGAGTAGAATAGATTTAATAAAAGAAAGATTTAGTCAGATTTTATTTCGTTATTGGGAATGATAAACCTTTACCTGTTTGATTCAAGTTACCTACTGTTTTTAAACAATTTTAGCGTCGGGAACTCAGATATGTTGTATTATTCAGCAATTTTCGACAAAATCAATCATCACAAGACAAGATTTGTGTCCTTCGGAGATAAGTTGCTGGGGTGCTACGCTATACTCTGGCTCAATTTTCTTACAGTACTCACACCAATTAGCGTGAACATGACTAGAACCACTTTGTCCGCAAGCTGAGTTCGGAAGTTTCCACACCATGGAACACCACGGCCGGATCCACTGTCCATTAAGCAGGCTTAGCATGCGGAGTAGAAATATTTACTACTTTGTCGGGTTCTGTCATAAAGTCTATAAAATCTGGAGCCGTTCTTCTACCTTTATAGTCTTTTATCCCCTTTTTATGGTAACTGATGTATTTAAACGTGGGATAACCAGTCACGTCGTTTCCACTACAGACTTCTGGGTATACAGTACAATCAACAGCAGTAAATTCGACTCTAAGATCATACTTGAACTCTTCAGCGGCTTGACTATATTAAGGTTTTGCTTTTTTACAATGTCCCCACCGTAGGGCATAAAACATGACCAAGGAATGTTTCTTCTTCTTTACAAATGGGTTAAATGTCTCTTCGGTCAAGTGAACTACCTCACTTTCTTCATTAATTCATGGTTTTTCTGGCGGGGTGGTGGTGCAGGTTCTTTAGAATCTTTCACGAAGTCTACAATTTTAGAAGCGTGCCTAACTAACCTTGATGTCGAACTTCTGTTCTCCGAATGAAAAGTAAATACCAGTTTGATAGCCTTTGATTGAGTACCTGAAGGCCAGTGTGGGTTTTATGGTAACGTCCACTGCAGCTAACATGCCTGGAATTCCTTCCTTTTTCATTTGAACTTCTGCAGCCTCATATTTCGGCTTTATTTTTTTGCAATGACTACATTATTAGAGCATAGAACATTATCAACACTGACGATTCGTCTTTTAACACTGGATCAAAACTGCTTGTGGTCAAGTGAACTACATCGTTATCGACATCGGACCATTCCACTTCTTTGATTTTGACCGGAGGTGTTGATGGATTGCGTATGAATGACACTATCACTGCTTTCTTGTTTTCTTTTTCGTAAGGAAACCTTAGATAGTCGTTCTCAAAGAAAGGTAGTGTGGGAAACCCAGTGATGTTGTAATGTGTCCTTACAACGGTATTCTCAGGTCTATTAACATTAATAGCTGATATAACAGCATCATCTTTCAATTCTTTTGCAACTTCTGCATAGTTGGGTTTTAGAGTTTTGCAAAATTCACACGCAATTAGTGGCCCAGCACTTTTTTTTAAGTTTCGCCAGTGTATTTGCATCTGAAATATAAACTGCTCCAGTAGCAGAAACATCTTTTTCCCATGGCATGTCTCCAGTTGGATCTCTTGGTCATAGAACTGACAGTTGACTTCCTATCATAATTTTTATGAAAATCACCATCTTTGTAGTGTTATAACATATGGATCATCTGTTTGGATTTTTAGTTATTTGCACATCTTTTTGGCATCTCCTTAATAATCAATTAGAGCCATAGCCTTCTCCTTAAATATTTTCTGTAACGTCTTTAAACACTTTGATAACATTTTGGGACTGTTATTATAGAAACAAATTAAGACATTGGTTTAAATCATGAGTGATTTTTTAAAGTCTTTAATGTCATCCATATTTTCTATTATTAATTTTTTGTTGTTTCTGGAAGAGCATCCTATTATGTGGCAACTAATAATGATATAAATGACAAAAAAACAGACTTCTCATGACACTAAATTTAGGCACATTTATAATACCTATATTCACGAATGTTTATTAACCAAGAAATTTGTTTTCTTCCTACACCTGTACGGCCCTCTATTTTGCCTTTAAGTATTAGTTGTAATATTTTATATCGATTTTTCTTTAGTATATCTCCCAGATAAGACATTTTTTGATGTTTAAAAGTCTTTAGCAGTTGTCTATCTTTAGGTATCTTCAGCATTCGTCTATAAACCCACATTTCCAATTCTTCAATTTTGTTCATAATCGATACTTTTAGCGTTCACACTTCTGCACTATACAAAAGTACGCACCAAACATAGCACTTAACCATTCTTTGTTTTAGTTCTAACCTGAGTTGGTTATTGCAAAAAAATGACTTCATTATCATGAAAGTAGTTTTAGTCATTGCTATTCTACGTTTTATTTCTATGTCTCGATCTAGTTGTTCCGTTATCACAGTTTCCAAATATGTCATTTTGTAAACTTTCTCAACTTGGACTTGGTTTAATTGAAGCTTTGCATCGGGATGTGGGTCACGTAAACACTAAAAATTTGGTTTTGTTTGAGTTTATCTTAATGCCCATTTCCTTTCCTACGTCGTAAATACGATTAAACAGAATTAAAGGGTAATTTAATTAATACTAAATAAATAATGTCTTGTCGATCTAAGTTAAAAATAATACATAGATTGCTTGTACTGCTATCTCAAATCAAAATAGCATAATGCAACTTACTACAATATGGTCCAAGACAATTTATCACATGATTTTAATGGATATAATCCTTCTCCTGCTGCTGGTATTGACATATGGAACTGAAACATGGGCTTTTACCAGCAACATAGTTCACAAACTCCAAGTGACTCAGAGAGTTATGGAACGGAGAATAATCAACATTAATCTCAGCGATCGCAAGTTTAATAAAGAAATAAGAAGACGAATAAAAGTTACAGATGATATCCAGAAGACTGCCAAGTTAAAATGGAACTGGGCAGACACATAGGAAAAATGAAAGACAACCGTTGGACTAAGCAAATTATTGAATGGCAACCAAGAGCAAACAAGAAAAGTAGAGGCAGATTTCAAACCAAATGGACTGATGACATCAAGCGAATGGCTGTTCACAAATAGATGCAAAAAATACTAACAGAAATAAATGGACACACCTAAGGGAGGCTGACATCCGACGACGGATGAAATAGTAGTTGATAATGAATTTTCTTTTGTACAAGTAACTTTAATGAAGTATTTAAGTTTGAAGTGCATTCAAGTAAAGCGTTTACACTATTCATGTAAAATACCTGAACTTGAACGGCGGTTCAGAGAAGAGAGAAAATTGAAGAGAAAAAGATCGTCTATTGCAGCACTAAACTTTTTATGTAATTTTAGCACGTTTCTAGGAATATGTCCTGTTTACATTTTTTATTTTGTTTTTTACATCTTGAGGACCAAATCATCTATTTTTAATTGAGACTGCAATTCACCAACACCATGACAACACGATATGAAGTGGAGTACATTGAAGACGATGAAATTTGAGTACCTACAGGAAGCCAAAGATGTGATACTAACTCTAAACAATTAAAAAGCATGTCGACGTATTTATGCGTATATTTTTCACACTCTTTTTTGCATATTTACGTAAGTCTAGTTATATCGATCCGAGTTAAGTCAACACCTACATTATGCTATGCTGATTAGTAAAACATTTAAGGCGGATTGTTCGAACGCTAATCAAAACTTGATTGTAATCAAATATTTAATTACAATCAAATACGTCACAGCAGCTGTCATAATTATTAAAAATTTCTAATTAATATTAGTGTTTTGTAAATAAAAACATGAAATTAACACAAGAAAAAGTTTAATTATGGTTTATTTTAAATTAAAACGCAAAATAATAAAATTGAATAAAATAAATCAGTCAACATAACTTCAAAATGTGATGTATTCGATTTTAATTAAATATTTGATTACAATCAAGTCTTGATTAGCGTTCGAACAATCGGCCCTTAGAGTTAGATATAATAGTGAGTTATTTAATTAGACCTTACCACCGACGTGATGAAGCTTATTTGCCAATTCACGTCCAATCGAGAAGTCCGGTTCTGGCTCTGGCAATGGATTAATCAGATCATTTGTTGGTGGTGAGGGAGTTATTAACGGGCATATAGAAGCAACTTCATCAGCCATAAAAGAATTTGTTGGAGACGATGGCAAATTTGGGTTATCTACTCTTAAAAAACCGTCCATTGCTTATAGCATATTTTTAGAACGTTTCAATCTAAAATGTATAACGACAATTTTACTGGTTCAAACAATAAATCTACTATTTTAAATTAAAATGCAATATACTAAACTATAGATAGTTTAAAGCTATAAAAATCGATTCAGAATTGAAATAAATTGAAAATGTTTCTATATTTTTACATTATTTTTTGGAAACACAAATAATATATATAATATATAATATATTATATTATATATATATATATATATATATATATATATATATATATATATATAATGGCTATACACCCCAACGTGGGGTTAAACCGCAAATGCTTTCTAGATCCTATTTCTTAAGTGGATCAGTCTTTTTTTTTTTATCTTATCTTCTTGACAATATCTCTCCATTTTTTCCTGTCTCTAGTTCTTCCTCTCCATTCACTGACTCCTGCCCTTTGGAGGTCTTCTTCAACTTCTTGCAGCCACTTTGATCTCGGTCTTCCCCTTCTCTTTCTTTCTCCTGGATTCCATTCTATCATTGCGTATGTCACTGCCTCATCGCCTGCTCGCCAGATGTGACCTAACCATCTAACTCTGCATTGCTTTATTTTAGTTACAATGTCTTCCTTAAGTTCTTCCTTAATTTCTGCATTTGTTCTGCTTCTATATTATTTTGCTCTGTTCTGATTGGTCCTAGTATGGTTCTCATAATCTTTCTCTCTGCAATTCTTAAGTCTTCTTCATCTTTTTTAACCATCGTCATTGTTTCCCCTGCATATAATAATATTGGTCTAATTATGGTGTTATAAATGCTCATCTTGCTTTTTTTTAGTCAGTGTTTTGCTTTTAAGTAATCTTTTGTTTGCAAAATAAGCTTTATTCGCTGCTAATTTTTTTCTTTTATTTCGGATTTCCTTTCTCCGGATTTACTTATTGTAACTCCTAGGTATTTGAAGTATTCTACTTCTTCAAACTCGGAACTTCCCTATTTTGATTTTTTCCTTCATTGGTTTTTTCCCTAATCTTAATATTTTTGTCTTTTCTTGATTTAATCTTAGCCCCATTACCTCCCCCTTCTCTCTTATTTCTTCAAGCATTTCTTTCATTATTTTTCTGTTCTTTGCAATAATAGCAATATCATCTGCATATGCAATTATTTGACCACCTCTTGTTCTAAGATTTCCTTTATTTATATTTCGCAGTACATATTCTAATGCTAGATTAAATAGCGTCGTTGATAAGGCATCTCCTTGTTTCATCCCTTTATTTATACTGAATTCCTCTGTCTCTCCTCTTTGTGTCTTTATGCTTATTTTTGTAGTTCTCATTGTCATTTCTATTATTTTCTGAGTTTATGTGGAATTTTTAATTTTTTAAGTGCTGTCATTAATACGTTCCTTTTAATTGAATCAAATGCCTGTTTGAAGTCTATGAATAACATTTCCAATTCTAATTTATACTCGTTTGCTTTTTCCATTATTTGTTTTATTGTGTGTATTGCATCTATTGTAGATCTTCCTTCTGTGAATCCACATTGGTACTGTCCTACTGTCTTCTTTGTGATCTTTGATAACCTCTTTTTTATTATTGATGTCAATATTTTATATGTTGTATTTAGTAATGTTATTCCTCTATAATTTTCACAGATTTGTTGGTCTCCCTTTTTATGTACTGTTATGATCTGTCCTACCTCCCAGTCACCTGGCATTTTCTCTTCTTTCCATATATTTTTCAATAGTGCCAGTATTTTTCCTCTTAGTTCCCTTCCCCCGTATTTATTAGTTCCATATTAATTCCATCTTTACCTGGGGCTTTTCCATTTTTGCTTCTCTGTATTACTTCATCCAATTCCTCTAATGTTGGTTCTTTTGAAATTTCGATGTCTACTTCATTTGCTTCTTCTTCGTGTACTGTTTCCTCCTCGTCATGCATTTCTTCTTCTGTTGTTTCCTCCGTCAAGAGCTCTCTGTAGTAATCTCTCCATACTTGCTTGTATTCTTGGTCCTCTATTATTACTATTCCCTCTCTAATTTTTATTCCGTTTGTTTTGCCCTTGTATTTTTTGTTTTGTTCTTTAATCTTTTTGTAAAAACTTTTCGTATTTCTGTTTGTTCTTTCCTGCTCTATTTCCTGCATTTTTTTGTCTACCCATCTTCTTTTATTTTGCCTTATCACCTTCTTAGCATACCTTCTTAATTTTTCATATTCTTCTCTGTCTTCCTCTTTATCTGTTCTTAGCCTTTTATTTCTGGCTTGCACTTTTTTTTCTGTTATCTCTCTACATTCTTGGTTATACCATTCGTTTCTTGTTTTAGCCTGACTTTTACCTATCTGCGTATTTGCACCTTCTTCTATTGATTTTTTGATCGTCTCCCATTCTGTGCTTATATCTTCTACTTTATATTTCTCTTTTATTTGAACTGTTACTGCCTCTTCATATTTTTTTCTTACTTCTTCATTACTCAATTTATTGACATTCCACTTTTTATGTTGGTTTTTTTTGTTTTGTTTCAATTTTAACTTTTTGTCTTAAAATGGCTGTGACCATGTAGTGGTCTGAATCTGCACACGCACCTCTGAACGTTCTTACATCTTTTATTGACGATTGTTTTCGTTTATTAATCATTATGTGATCAATTTGACTATATGTTTTCTGATCCGGTGACCTCCATGTTACCTTATGTATTTTAGGGTGTTCAAATTTTGTCGAGCTTATTAACAAATTTGTTCTTGTTGCTAGGTTACATAGTCTTTGCCCATTGTCATTCGTGTTTTCGTGTATTGTATGCTTTCCTGCAATTTGCTGTAAAAAGTCCTCTTTTCCAATTTGGGCGTTGAGGTCTCCGAGTACAAATATGACATCTTCTTTGGGTATTTTTTCTATCTCCTCTTCGACCTTATCATAAAAGATTTCTTTTTCGTCTGCATTGCTTGTTTCTGTGGGGGCGTATAAATTCAAGACTGATATATTAAATGGTTTGCTGTTGACTCTAACATAGGCCATCCTTTCGCATATTGGCTTGAAACTTATAATTTCTCTCTTAGGTGACTAAGTATCATGAATCCCACGCCTTTTTGCCCTCTTCTTTCCTCCTGAATATAACATTGTAAAGTCTTGTTTGTCAATCTGTCCCTGTCCCTCCCAACGTAATTCTTGCAGTGCTGCAATATCTATTTTATACTTTTTGAGTTCCTTTCCTATTTCTAGCATTTTTCCTGGAGCTAGCATAGTTCTTATGTTCCATGTGCTTATTTTCAACTCTTTATTTTTTTTGTTCTGTTGTCTTCGTCCTTTATATTTGTTTTCTTGTCCATTTTTCTTTATTTCACTTTTGTTGTGCCCGGTTTATCTGCAGTTATTTCCTGTTTCTTTGCCTCGTCCGTCAACGAATAATGTATCCTCTCATCCCTTGCTAGTTTTTTGAATCCCCTCCATGATGGTCCTCCAGCTGGTTGGTGTTTCTATTCCATTTCCTTTCTAGACCATCTATTATAAGTTTGTTGGCTTTAATTTGGACACGTTTACCTTTCTTTATTTCATCTTTTGCTATTCTTCGTATTTCCCTCTGTATTTGTAATTCCTCTGTTGTTAGATCATTGTTTATATATATTTTTTCTTTTTTCAATTCTTTAAGTTTACTTTTGTTTTCCATAATTTTTGTTTTTTCTTCTTTGTTTGGCAATCTGACTAAACATGTTTTATCTCCTAGTTTCACTGCTTCATCTATATTTACAGTAATATTTAGCTCTTTTGTCATAAAATTTTCTATCACTTCTTTTAGTACTCTTCTATCTCCATTTTCTATTGTCATTCCCTGTATTATCACATTATTTTCTTTTCTTATTCTATCCAGCCTTTCAAGGCGTCCTTTTGTCTCATTCAGATCCTTTTTGATTTGTTCATTTTCTTTCCAGATTTTACTATTCTCTTGTTTTAGTTCTGCTAGTTCAGTTTTGAGTTCCCTCATTTCTTCTCTGTATTGTTTTTGTTCCGTTTTACCTCTTTTATATCAGTTTTTAATTCTTGTAACTCTATTGTTAATTTTTTTATCATATTTAGTATTTGATCTATTTTGTTTTCATCTTTGTGACTTTTAATTGGGCTTCTTTGTACTTTTTTACTGGGACCAAATAATAGTTCCTCTTCTTCTCTATTTCTTTTCCGATTGTCATCGGATGTATTATCATCTGAATCCATATTTCTGCTGCTACTACTCGCGATAGAGCTAACCTCCCCACTCAACGCGTCGAAGGAAGATAGTTCTCTCAAGTAGTAGCTTGAGTAATTTATTATCTCGTTTTCTTCCTAGATAAATTAATTTTCAATTAAAATAATTGTCAGATACTTTGGAACGGTTTGATGTGGCAACGCCCACCTCTAGCTTTTAAAACTGATATATAGTGTTAATTACCTGGGCCGGTTTTGTTTTTAGTTTTTTGTGTTGAGAGTAAATAAAATTTCCTTCGCCTTCCTAAATTTATCGAGGTTATGCACTTACCTCTCTTCCAATGTCTTTGCTATAATTACCCTAACACTTTTATTCTTGTATTACACACTGCACGCAAAATCAGCAAAATTATCGACTCACAATAACCAAAAATTGAAATTATTATGGAGCAGAATTTACACACATCTATTCCTTACACTAGAGATGGAAGAACTCCCAAATAATATATAGGAACACGAATAATTATTTTATTATTATTTTGAACATAAAACACTATATTTATTAAAAAAATACAATTATAAAAATACAAAATACAATAAGAATCACTAAGAATTAATATCAATTTTATTTTTAAATAAAAAAAAAATGAATTATTGGACTAAAAAATATTATAAACAGCTTACAAATTGTTTATTATTATATCTTTATAATTTTGTGTATTCATTACTTATATTTTATTGAAGAAGAATTGTTTTAATTGCTATTTTGGAAACTTTTAAACATATTCAATATTGACTGAAAAATTAATCGAGAACATTTTTAAATTACTGTAAGATTTTTATGAATACTATTAATTTATTCTCTGAACTACGGACCATTACTTTGTTTAAATATTTGTATACTAACCTGTGGAACGTTATTCCTGAAGATTTTTTAATAACATTGCTTCTGTTATTAAAACTATGTGGAGAACAAGAAACCATTATTATGCACTATCACTATATTACAGTTTCTGTAAAATATTATAAAACTAAAAATAGTGAAAAATAACACAAACGTCAACAATAACACACGATCTGTCAAAACGATCATAATAATATGGCCGAAGTGAGGTCGTTTTTAGTCACGTGATGCCCCCTCCCATAGATTCTGATTCTAACTAATAGAATGAATTACTCTCAGTTTAGCATCTTGAATTTGATAGATAAATTAACTCATATTTTCATAAAACGTGGACGATCACTGAATCATTATTAAATAAACTTCGAAAAATAAAAATATTAAAATAATTAAGTTTTCAAAATGTGGCTGCTGCACGTAAGCTGGGCTGAAAGAGTTAGAATTAAAGAGGCATTGGGTATAACGTTTAAAAAAACAACCTGAAGTAGTGAAAACCGTAAAAATGCGAAAATTTGAGTATTTTTTCCCATGTCATTCGACACCCAGAATAATATGGAATCCCCCATCTTATTATTCAGGCCAAAATATGTGGAAGAAGGAGTCGTGGTCAGAAAAGAATATCATAGCTTCGTAACCTAGTGAGTGGTGAGTGGGAATATAATTATGATAGCCAATATGCAACTTTCAGTAATGACCATGGTACGGAAAGAAGAGAAAGGCTTCAGGAATGAAAGTCAAAAAATGAGGATATCAAAAAAAATTAAAATTATCGCATTAATAATTTTGGAGTGATTTATCGCATCAAATGTGTTTTATATTAAATGATTAAACATTGAAAATATCTTATCATAACAGAATAGAAAATCCTAGTTATTTGAGCCTATTTAAACCATCTGGATAAAGTTGAACAAATAAAATAAGTTGATATTAGTATCTTCTGTTTTCTTAGTAATAAAAATTAGATAAAATTGGGTTGATCTAAATTATAAAACAATTATTATTTAAAAAACGTGTACCTAGTTCTCATACGTGTACGTCATATTTTTGTTCAAAATTTATCAACAAAATATTCAGTTAACATATTGGTTACTTTTTGAGTTACTAGAGTTGTGATGAAATCTATCTTTAAAAAATTCTATCTAAAATTGCACACGCTACGTTAGAGCTTAATGTTACTGGTTCTAATAATAACACGTAAAATTAACACAAGATTACTTACCAAGTAGTTACTATCAAACTACAAATATTGTTTTTAAAACTCTCTGAATTAATAACTTGACCATATGTGACCAATTTATTTTAATAACACAATTTTGGTCTGTAACTAAAAGTGAATATGACAATCGTGGTAAACAGCTGACTGCAGTCATTGAGACCGAAGGACGGCTGCGTCGTGGCGACGACGCCAACATGGGCGTAACATAATTTGGGGTTTGATAAATTCAAATACCGATAAATTTAAATAAAGTGATCACCAATAATTAATAAATATATATTTACATGTAAGACATATTATATAAAAAATCATTTTTATTAGTTACATGTAATAAACATTGGGGATTATCAATAAAAATGAAAATTTAGTTTATAGGGTAAACTGTGCAAATATCGGTCAGTGGGTAATAGCGGTCATCACGATTGTGCGAAATCTATTCAATCTGGCAACCTCCTATAACACCTAGGCAACCTCCATTGGCGCATTGTCATGGAAATATTATTAACCTGTTTTGAGTGTTTTCGATCTTTTTTTATGGTAAGTAATATAAGGTCTTAATTCATTTTTATTCACTTGTAGATCTTAAAATTGGTTACAATTGAATATAATGATGTTAGCTGCATATTCTTTTTTTTAAAGATCAATAATTTAATACATGTTTACGAGTAAAAAATTCTAAGAAAAAAAATCTCAACAGGAGACAATGCCGGTCAATTGACCGGTATTATCCCCATGCTGACTTATATTAATTTACAGTTTGTACTATTAATCCTTAGGGAATTTTTATATTTCAGATGACAAGGAACCTAAAAAAACGACTTTTAAAGCAAAATGGAGTCAACAGGATTTAGAAAAAGCTATTTTAGCTTACCGAGATGGTGAAATGATTATGCGAAAAGCAGCAAAAGCATATGCCATCCATTTTTCGACATTGCAAGAAAGAATGAAAAATAAAAATCTTCAAGGTGCGTCATTAGGTCAAAATCAGTATTTTCTCCCCAACAAGAAGCTAAAATAGCCACAGAAATAAAATATTTAGCTTCTATTTTTTATGGCGTAACAGCAAAAGAACTAAGAAAATTAGCATTCGAGTTTGCTGAACGAAAAAGTATTAAACATAATTTTAACGTCTGCTTAAGATTAGCTGGTGTCGAGTGGTTACGAAGTTTTCTTCGCAGAAATCCAACAGTATCCATACACAAAGCAGAAGGCACGAGTCTAAACAGATTAACAGCTTTTAATAAAGAAGAAGTGGACCTGTTTTTTAATCTATTAGAAAGTTTAATGAAAAAATATCAATTTGGTCCAACACAAATATATAATGTCGATGAGACGGGAATTAGTACAGTTCAGGATCCTGGAAAAATTTTAGCTACCAAAGGCCAGAAAAGGGTGGGCTTTGCAACTGGTGGAGAGAGGGGTAGAAACATCACAGTTATGTGTGCTATGAATATCGCTGGGGAATTCCACCCATGTTTATTTTTCCGCGAAAGCGCCTGACACCTCTTTTAGAAAAAGATGGACCTCCGGAGGCATTATATAAATGTTCAAATAATGGTTGGATTGATGTAGGTTTATTTTATGAATGGTTGCAAAACTTCCATAAATACTCAAAACTCAGTGAAACCTCACCAGTTCTTCTAATTTCAGGTAACGATTCCAGCCACATACCAATAAAAGTTTATGAATATTGCAAAGCAAATAATATTTCTATGCTTTCAATTCCGCCTCATTCATCTCACAAGATCCAACCTTTTAATATTGTTTTTTATAGGCCTCTTAAAGCTGAATATCGAAATGAATGTAATTTGTTCATGAAAACACATTTTATGCGAAATATCACGCCATATGATGTTGCTGGTCTGTGTAATAAAGCATATCCTATAGTAGCGGCCATTACAAAACCAATCGCTTGTTGAAGTCCAAGATAACAATGAACCATACTAGCCGAACTTTACAAAACAAACTAATATCAAACTTTCTTCTTCTTCTTCTGGTAGCACTGAAACCCGGGGTGGGTCTTGGCTGACTGCACAACCTGCTTCCATCTCGAACAGTCGTCCATGATGTTTAAGTCAGTGGATAGCCCCATTGTTCTCAAATCTGACCATATATTATCTCTCCATCGCATTCGTGGACATCCTAAGGGCCTTCTCCCTGTCGGGACTTCTTCCCAGATTAACTTGGTAAGGCGGTTATTAGGGAGCCTATGAACATGGCCAGCCCATCTTAGACGTTGGGATTTAATCTCTTGGACTACGTCGCTAGCAGTATACATTTTTTTGACCTCGGCATTTGTTCTCATTCGGTATTGGTTAGTATTCGGATCGTGATATTGACCGAAGATCTTTCTGAGGATTTTTCTCTCAAAGCATCTGAGTTTACTTTCCATTGCTTTTGTCAGCGTCCACGTCTCACACCCATACATGAGCACCGGTCTAATTACTGTTTTATATATCCTGATTTTTGATGTTCGTGTTAGGCTCTTGGATTTAATAGTGTTGTGGAGGCTATACATACATCTGTTTGCTGCCTGAATTCTCCCTTTTATCTCTTCCGTGATATCGTTATCTGTGGTGATAGTCGCCCCGAGATATTTAAAACTCTCCACTCTTTCAAAGTTATAGGGGTCTATTGTTACATTTTGTCCTATTCTATCTCGTCTCTTTTGTGTGTTAATGCACATATATTTGGTTTTCTCTTCATTGGCCCTTAGACTGGTATTTTTTGCCTCTCTCTCTAATTTATTGAAGGTTTCTTTTACATTGGTGACGGTATTTCCTACAATGTCAATGTCATCCGCTTATGCTAGTAGTAATTTGGTCCATTTACTGTCAGTAGTTCTGTTCTAATTTGCGGTTCTTACTACTTTTTCCAGGATTATATTAAAAAGAAGAGGTGACAGCGCGTCTCCTTGTTTCAGTCCACTGTTTATTTCAAACGACTCTGAGAGCTTGGTACCTATCCGCACTCTAGATCTACAGCCATTTACACAAACTTTAACGAGCCCAAGTTTTTTTGGAACTGAAAGTTCTGCCATTGCATTCCACATCTAATCCCTTTTAATGCTGTCGTATGCTTGTCGGAAATCTATGAAGAGATTATGAATGGTTCTATTGAATTTCCATCCTTTTTCAAGCAGCTGCCTGAGAGTAAAAATGTGATCTATGGTCGATCTATTTATTCTGAAACCGGCTTGGTATTCCGCTATAAAATTTTCTACAAAAGGTGTTAGTTTACTTAATAGGATGTTCGATAAGATTTTGTACGCCGTATTATGTAGGGAGATGCCTCTATAGTTAGAGAACTTGGTTTTGTCTCCCTTTTTATGGATAGGAATTATTACACTTTCGTGCCATTTTGTTGATATTTTCTCTTCGTTCCATATAAGTGTTATTAGTTTGTGTAATTCTCTATGTAAAGTTTCTCCTCCGTACTTAAGAAATTCGGCTGGTATATTGTCAGAGCCTGGAGCTTTTGCGTTCTTCAATTTGTTAATTGCTTGCAATGTTTCGTCTATTTTTGGGTACTCTACCGGTAGGTCCACCCCAAGGTATATATCCTCTCCATGTTCTTCATCTTGGTGTATATTAGGTAAATTTTTGAAATTTTATATTTTTTTTAGATTTGTAAAATGCTCGACTATTTGACTGTTGTCTATTTCTTTCCATTTATTCATACTGCTGTTGTTCGTATTTTCTTTTTTTCTCTTTAATTAGTTTTCTTGTTTCTCATACTAATATCAAACTTTGCCACCTATAAATAAAAATCAGGTTGAAACATCAGCAATGGATCCTATTCCGGGACCTTCTACTAGTTTCACATCATTTAAAGAACTTTCGTCTATTACAAATTCCGCTGTAGGAAAGAGTATAACCAGAAAAAAACAGCATGCCAAAATCCTGACATCTATGCCTTTTAAACAAGAGTTAGAAGAAAAGGAACAGAAAAAACAGGAAAAGGTAAAGAAAATTCAAGAAAAAGGAAAAAATACCCAAAAATTTCGGAATCGGATATCGATATACCATGTGAAGACAGTGACGATGCAGATGAAGATAGATGCCTGATTTGCAGCAAGTTTGGTAAAAACAATGAAATGTGATTTATATGTACCCTTTGCTCAAAATGGGCCCATTCAGAGTGCAGTGGATGGGATTCTGCAGAGGGTTATACTTGCGATACCTGGCAACAATTTTTACATTAAAACATACAATTTTTGTTATTTTTTTTGTTTGGTAATAAAAAATATTTTTTCACCTTCCTTACTGATTCACTTGAATTATTACCTATTAAGGCACATTCGTTAATCATTTTATCATTTTATAACAAAAAAATTTTAAATAGATATTGATTTTTATTTTAATAATAATACAAATAAATTTACTGGCATTACTCACACTCATGACCGGTATGGTCCATATCTGAAGACAATACCGGTCAAATATAGTTTTTTATTTTTTGACGGTGACCAGTTGACGCCTTAAATTGGATTCACAGAGTTTTACTTTTTTTTATATTAAATTTTCTTTTTAGGTGACTGCGATTTGCACACTTTACCCTACTCCAAATTTTGTAGAAGATACTCCTCGTGGCGCGTGGTATAAATAAAAAACAGAAGTTGATACCCGGCTTAAGTAGGTACTCTTACGTATAGTTCGTTGTGAGAATGTTATTATTTTTGATATGGGTAAAAATATCTTAATGCTCTTTTTGATGAGAATCTACTCCGTAAACTTGGAGTCTTCAGTTTCATCGTGGCTATCGTGATATAGACTATATGCTTAACAAACTTTAGGAGGAGTACACTAAGTGGGGCTTTACAATTAATATACAAAAAACCGAGTATTTCCTTACAGGACAAAAATCAGAAAGCCTGCAAATTGAAGTGAGAACTATAAAATCAACTCAAACCGTTAAATATTTGGGGTTCAAATAACATCAAAAGCAGGGAGTAATGGAGAAATACATTCTAGGATTGGCCAAGCAAGAGCAGCCACTAGACAGCTACATGCACTATTGTGAAATAAAAAAATAAAAGAAAATAAAAAAAGAATTAATAAAACAGTAGTAGAAAGTATTGGGTTGTACAATGCCAACCTTTGAGAAATCATTAAAAAAAATCCAATCAAAAATTAAGGCAATGAAAAT